TGATCTTCTAGATCACTTGCCTCATTTATTATTATCATTTTGATCATTTGCTCATCTTCTTTATCAAGAAGTTTATTTGAAACCGATTGTCTATACGCTTTAAGCGTACCATGGACTTTGTCCTTCTAGGACTTAATAAGAGCATTTGCATTGAGAATATAGTTACTTTCTTTGGGTCAGCAAATGCGTCTGGCATGCTTTGCAATATATTGCAGATGAATTATATTTTTATGAACCTCAAGTTCATATTATGTTATTCGAGGATCTAGATGTACAAATGATAATTCATTCCATGTAACGTTTTTTCAACTTTTAATCGTGTCTCCCCCTCATGTTAGAAAAACTAACTTGTTACCTCAACTTTGAGAATCCACCTTTGTGCGTTATGGTGTTAATCAAAATATACACCGCACATCAATAATAATAAGATGGAATTATTTGGTTCCTGACCCTGAACCACTTGTGAGGGGAGAAAATAATATACTTTCGTATATAACGTATATCAAACTGATATAGATAATTTTGTTCTCATAAGAAATAGTTTAGCTATTAAATGGAGGCACTTAATAAATTATTTTGCTAAACTAACTGTGATGTAAACCAACTTATCAAGATGAACTATCTTGAATAAAAAATTTGGAAATGATGCTCTAAATCAAATTATTGAGCAAGTTACCTTGCAAACACCATGTTGCGGGTTAATAATAATCGCATATGTAACCATCTCATAGATGCATCTTATGTGGTATACATGGCAGGTGAATGGGCCCATATTCACCTTTGATATTTCCAGCATTCATGGGATTTAATCCCAATTTTAGTTGGTATATTAATTAATGAGAACAACCAACATAAGAGAATGCGTAAAGAACTTTCTAGTTCTTTAATATTTACCCATGTGAATTCTCTTTTATTTTTGCACATCATACTTGAATTAACATGGCTAAACCAATTATGCCAACTGGATAAATTATCAATATTGATAAACTTCAGGTTTACACCATGATGTGTGCAATTATGAATAAACTCCAAGTTTATTGTGATATGGATATTTATATCAATAAATATCCACTTCATTGTGGTATTCTTTTGTTTATGTAGTACAAATTGGAGAATAAAGCGGGTAACTTTTCACATACATATTACCCCGCTACAAGTTGTAGTAATAGAAAATATTAAATCTTTCCTTTACTTATAGTCTCAATATAATCAACCGCTTTCGCGTATACTTTGGAAACTGAATAAGTTTCTTTGAGACTTACTACAACACGATACCTTATTGGTAATTAATTGTGTTTCTCCAAAATAGTATAATTGGCTCTTGCAGAGTTCTCAATTAATTTTGTAGTACCACATATTCATCAACACCTATATGGTGAATATCTCTTTTAAAGAGAAAGTTATACCATTATGGTTATGGTAAAAATTATATGCAAGATCTGTTTCTTGCATTACCGTTATCTTTTAACAATCACAATGCCAAAATATTTTGGCGTACAATAGGTACGTGACCAATGACCATTCATGCCATAATAATGACATTATTTCTTATATCATCTCAAACCTCCTTTTAGAGGTGAGTGTGGTATATTCACTACCACTAGCACGTTCATATTCTTCCAAGAATGAATATATATTCATAAAATAAGATGTTGTCACATTCACATCATGAATGGACCATAATCATCTATATGTGCTTTACAAAATCTCATGTCAAATCGATGACAAATATTTTTCACAGAGTGAAAGATTATTTTGAGAATCCTTATTGTTCTCATTACCACAAATGATGGCGATTATAATTTCGTCTATTGCCACGTTCATATCCATTGATACATTCATAGTAATAATTTTGTCTTCTTTCAGACTTATCACATATTGCTATCACATTCTCGTAAGGGAATGAGAATGGAGCAAATTCAATGGGACGGGTTTTCAATTTTTTGCCCACAATCATACATGAATTTGATCATGGCGAGGCATAGAAATTTTACCACTTCAGGTGGTTATAATTTCTTACAAACTCCATTAGAGTTATAATCAAACTTTGTTGTCTTTGCTTGTATTTAAAATCGAAGTATAGAATAAAAGAGAAAAAATACGGTAAAATACTTACCTTAAATCCAGAATTTAATCATGAAGGAAGTTCATGGAATAATTGACAATCATTATGCTCAATCCCAAATCTTCTACTCAATTGGTTAGAGTCTCGTGCTGATAACGTGTTATGAAACAATAAAAGAAGAAGAACAATATTGCAGAGAAAAAGAGAGAGAGATGATTCTTATTGATTTTGGGATTACAATATAATAGAACCCTCTATTTATAGGGAGAGGGTGACTTAGCCACCAAGCAATGAACCCTATAATCTCTCTAAATATAGACATTCACCATAAATACAATTTTATTTATAACAGTAATTAAATTATCTTAGTAGTGTAAAAATTGTATAGTAGCTACACCAAATGCGCACATCTAATTTGACCCGAGACAATAGAAAAAAACAACAAACGGTGGATTCTAATGGACGGCGCATTTTTTCAAAGCGATGACTTTAGTTTTATTTATTTGTTGTTTTTTACTCGGTGTACGATATTTATATGGAAGGTCTTATTAATTTGGATTCACGATACATAAATCGATAAAAGGGTGAAACGCCCCTAACACCCTGTACAAGAACTATTTTTTGTATTCAAGGTTCGAATGTAACACTTCTGATTAAGGGTAGAGGAATTCTATTTATTCTGCCGCAACTCTAGGTGATTATGGATTTTAGAATCTACTACTCTGTCGTTTTATTTTGTTTTATCCAAATCAAATTTATGGGTGAAGCACTAACATTGTTTATTTAAAAGACTCAAACCAATTTGCAAGTCCAGAGAGTTATACAAGATTAATTGGAGTTTTCTTCGTGGATATATTTTAAAAATCTTGCAAATTATTTTCTCCTAAAACATTTGTTTAAGTTCTCTGTTCAAAACTTTAAAAATTACACAAAAAAGTTTTTTTTCTTCAGAGAAGTTGATTTTTTTCAAAATGTTTTAAGGTGCTTTTTAAAGAATGTATGGCAAAGCACCTCAACTCCAAGACAATTGATATCACCAAGTGTTGTAATGAGATATCATCCGCCTTTGATCAGAGGTCTCGAGTTCGAGCCCCGAGAATAAAAAAAATTCTACTAAGGAGCAATTCCCTCTTTAATAGACTTTATACGGCACAAATTCGAATTAGCCGGGGTCCCAAATTAGATACCGGACAACGGGTTGGATACCACCCAAAAAAAAAAAGACAATTGACAATCCTATTGGTGGAAACTGATTAAATCAAGAACTCCTGTAACTCCAAATTGTTGCAAAGATAAATAAATCAACTAGGCAATGACTTATCTTTTGTATATAAATTGTTTATACTTGTATACAAGTATGAACAAAAGGGACTCTGATTGCCAAAAAACATTGTAATAGGGAGAAATGTCCTTAGGACATCAGAAACTGGCTATGACATAGGAGCTTAGCCAACTAGCTTTAAACAATACAACCCAATAATCTGTAAATACTCTAATGTAGAAAAAGAACAATTAAGATAATTGAAAATACTAATATAGTTTATCATATAATATGCCAATTTCATCAATGATTAAGTCACAAAATCCCAGTGCAACAAACTTTCTTGCTATCGTTGGCGTCTACTTCTTCGATGCTCTTTGTATTGTACTCGTCGAACTCCTTCAACTGCTCAACGAAAAACCAAGAACACATTTTAGTCTTGAATCAAGAATGTAATCTTCAACTTTCGAGAAGAAAATCATTTTTCTCCTTCATATGCAAAAGATGTACTTATCCAAACGAGACTGTTATAGAGAGATTTGACTGTATATTGACATTTAAAAGATACTAAACAAGTTGTTCCCTGACTTCAGGATAAGACTAAACCTCAATCTATTGACAGAATTACAATCTGAAACAAACAATATGTTTGTCATTATAATATTTACAATCTGAAACAAGTTGCTACTTCTTTTTACTCTTTGACTCTGATGTGTTACCTGAATATGCCTTAAGCCTTGCTGTAGATAGTTTATACTCAGCTTTTTTCTTTCGCCACCTACTTCGCCTCGATTGTTTGCTTGTACCATCTGTTTCACCAGCAAATTTTTCTTTGTTATCAAACATAGGCTTCTTTTCAGCTTTTGGCACATCTGATATTTCTCCTTTAAGTGTCTTTTTCACTTGATGAGTTTTACAAAGGGGTACTTTCCATTCCTTTTCTCTATAAGGTGCTAACTCCTTATCCTCAATTGTTAACATCTCCTCTGGTGTTAGCCCAAATCTCTTCGCCTTAACCGGCCTATACTTGAATCTTGTCTTCAAGTCACCAATAGTATCCTCATAGTCCAACTTGTAATATTCTTCCATTAGCTGTTCTTTGACTATCTTCATTCCTGTACTAGGCCGCTTCCTCTTCTTCTTCGTCCGCTTACCTTCTTCAGCCACATCATCATCATCACCACGAGGTTTGTCCACATTGTATCTAAGTAATTCATCTTCCTTGTCAAATTCTGGCTTCTCAAGTTCGGCACCATCTTCATCCTTATCACTTCCAAATTCAGGATCCATATCATTTGCCTCATAGTAGGGCTCGTCGAAACCCTTGTTCATCTTTCTGTCATGATCATCCGGATCAAATTCCTCCTCCAAATCATCGACATCAAACAAGCATACCTCGTCCTCTCCTATCCCGGCAGTCTTCTTAATCTTCTCAAGCTTCTCCCTCATCTCCTTCTTCTTCAAGTTCTTTAACCGTTTCAACTCCTCTTTTCTCTCCTCTTCCGCTTGAACCATCCTCTCTTCCTTTCTCTCCCTCTGCAACTTCCTTGCGTTCGCCTTCTTTCTCACCGATCCCTCCACTTTCCTCGAATGTCCCCACACTCGATCACCCCCATTTTCCTCAAATCTAAAATTAAAATCTCTCTCGTAATCCTCTTGCCTCTCAATCTCCTCCTAATCCTCCGAAAACTCCACCTCCTCCACATCATCTCTTTTACATTTCTTATCATCCCTCCACATCTCGGTCCCCAAATAATCCTTTAAAAATTTGTCATACTCCCCAAAAGCCTCATCCCATTTCTTAGCAAACTCCGTAGGGACCTCCGCGTCATCACCTAACTCATCCCCTCTTTTCTCATTTACTTTCAACTTAAACAAGTCCTCCTCATCCTCCTTATCAGCATTCAAAAATTCCTTTCTCAAATCCTCTTGCTCCTCAAAATATGTCTTGACTTTCTTCTCATCTTCTTCTTCGTTGTCTTCTTTATCTCCAAACTCCGGACCCTCCTCCATCAAATGCTTAAAAACTACATCCTTCAAGTACTTTGGCTTTTTCTTTTTCTTCTCGTCCTTAGACTTCTCCTTCGACTCAGAATTTGTTTCAGATTCAGATTCAGAATCGAATACTTAGCATCTTTATTATTCAAAATTGGATCACCTTTCTTTATCTTAAGCAAAACATCAATGAACTTTAAATTACTCGAAGGGTTCAAATACTCCTCTTCTTTTTCTTCGTCGTCTTCAGAGGAGTCTTCGTTGTCAGAGACATCGACGAGGCCTTTCTTCTTCAGCTCTTCCAGCCTTTGCAAGTCCTCTCTCTTCTTATTATGCTCGTATATAAGGGCAAATTCCTCGTTGATCTCGATCTTGTCAACCTTCTCGATGTCATCGTCATCAACCTCGAATAGCTTCAACCCCATATTTCATTAGTGTTTACAAAGAGCTTCAAAATAACAACCTTCACCAAACTAACAGCTCTCACAAAAATAACAGCTTTCACAAGAAAACTACAGAAACTGAAAGTTCACTATTTTGCCTGCAATTCAACATATAAACAGAAAGTTAACATTAACATATAATGAAACCTATAATGTGTTGCATAAAGAAAAACAAATATACTAAAAAAAATGCCAATTTGAATCAACAATATAGTTTAAAAGCTCACATTTTTATTCAGATTAAACTCATAACCATCAAGTATTTGGACCATATGAGAAATAATAGGGAAGAGCATGTGAGAGCAAACACCAAGAGGAAAAAAAAAATCAGATTTTTATTCAGTTTAATCACATTTCTCTCTTTTCACCCTTTATATAAACCCGAATTCTATGTTGCTCGGACTCTTCGAAAATATTGATGGGTGCGTATCGGATCCTCCAGAAGTAGTGCATTGGATCCGACACGGTACGACAACATATTTGGAGAGTCCGCACAACATAGACTGAATTAGCGCGTGTGTGTTATGGAGGGGTAGATTCACATTACTGTCTTCTCATATACTTCTTTGTAGCAAGTTTCAGAATTTCATACTGTCATGTTTTGCATAAAAAACAACAAATATACTAAAGAATGTGAAATAGAATCAATAATATAGTAAAGCAAATCACATTTGTATTCAGTTTAATCTTATAACCAAAGCCAAGTCTTTAAACCATATGAAAAAAATATCACATTTTTATTCAGTTATAATCACAATTCTCTCTTTTCAACCATTTTATATTACTCTATTAGTGTGTGTGTGTGTGTGTTTTGGAGGGGTAGATGCAAAGTAATGTCTTGTCAGATACTTTTTTTTGTAGCAGCTTTCATAAGTTCAGACTCTTTCTTCCATACAGTTTACATAATCAAGTTAAACAAGCACAATAAAAGGTTCTTTTCTGGAAATTGTACTAAGAAAACAAAATATTATGCAAATTACAATTTTTTCAGGAGGCTGAAGCTGTAGAGACTAAAATATTTTCGAATAAAATTGAGAGAAATAAGAAGAGAAACAAGATTTAGAGAGAGAGCCTGTGTATATTATGTTGGGTTTTTAAGATATTTAATTAATATATTAAATACTTAAAAGAGGGTGAATGGGAAATGGAGGGAAATGAAATTTTTGAGTAAAATTTTAAGTTCCCCCTCCCTTGGCAAATGGGCATTGTCCCATATTGGAAGAGGAAGAGGTTTTTTATGGGTATATAAGCAATTGCTCTTCTTCTAGCTCTTAAAGAGTTGAGAAGAAGGCAAGCCTCGCGCCGTCGTCGCTCGCTCGGCTTCGGCTTCGGCTACGGCTACGGCTACGAATTCGGATTCGGATTCGGTCAAATGATCGATTGATAAATATTTGTTTTAATAACAAAATATTAATATTAAATATTAATATTAAATCCAATCCGTTTTTCTATTTTGGTAATAGAAAAGTAACTACCCTTTTCAATTTTCCCTCTTTATTTTCCCTCTTTATTATTGAGTAAATGGCCATTTATGTAATGGCATTTATGTTGTGGGCGTTTTGCATAAACAGCCATTCTGAAGAGACCCAACTTTGGCTATAAATACAACACTATTCTGCTCAGAATTTAAACTACAATTTTCTGAGTTTCCTCTCCTTCTTCTGCATACTTTTAGCATCAAAACAAAGCAAAAAGTAAGTGTGATTTGCTACCGAACTTTGTGTTCGCTGAAACACTGGGGTTTGAAGTACCACTACACCAGTGTGTAATTCGTTCTATCCTGGGAGGAAATAATCCATAACCTTGGGTACTAGGAGGGGATTAAATTCCTTAAGGAAACACTGTGAATTCAGTGGGCTCGAATTGGTTTATGTCATTTCTGTTTAAATTCATTACTGTTTATATTCATTTATATTTCCAGAATTTATTTTACAAATACAGTGTAATAACAAGCTTAAGGAATTTAATAATTTATTTTCTGTATTTGTACTTACTGTTTCTGGAAGAGTAAAACCTTTGTGGTTTTGTACTCTATTAAAATCTACGTGATTTTAAGGTTTGTGTCATTCTTTTACAGAAATGACTAATGAGAATGAGAACCAAGCGGTTCCAATGGTGACTGCCAATGCGTCAACAAGCCGAACGACACCGGACAGCATTGGCACTGGCAGCAAAAGATGTTCTTCTATCTGACTACTCTAAGTCTCCAGAAGTTCATCAAGGAAGATGTTCCTGTGCTGTCCGATGAAACTCCAGAAACTGAACGCTTTCTCGTAATTGAAGCATGGAAGCATTCAGATTTTTTGTGCAAGAATTATATTCTAAGCGGGCTGGAGGATGGTTTGTATAACGTCTACAGTGGCGTGGAAATGTCAAAGGAACTGTGGACTGCGCTTGAAAAGAAATACAAAACCGAAGATGCCGGGTTGAAAAAGTTTGTTGCTGCAAAGTTTTTGGACTACAAAATGGTAGATAGCAAGTCTGTTATTACCCAAGTCCAGGAATTGCAAGTGATTATTCACGATCTCCTTGCTGAAGGTATAACTCAATTTAATATTGATGTTGAAAGTAGTAATCTTAGTATTTTTACTAATAGAAATTTCATTGAAGGTCTTGTTATCAATGAAGCATTTCAAGTAGCAGCGATGATTGAGAAGTTGCCTCCTTTGTGGAAGGACTTCAAAAACTACTTGAAACACAAACGCAAGGAGATGTCCCTTGAAGATCTCATTGTTCGGTTGAGAATCGAAGAGGACAACAAAGCTGCGGAAAAGAGAGGCCGTGGAAATTCAACAATAATGGGAGCAAATATTGTTGAAGAGAACAAAAAGAGAAAGAAGGCTTCTGGACCAAAATACAACCCAAGCAAGAAGCGGTTCAGTGGAAACTGCTACAACTGTGGGAAAACTGGACACAGATCTACGGAGTGTCGTGCTCCGAAGAAAGACAACAAAAGGGGTCAAGCAAACATGGTTGAAAAGCATGATGATGTTGATGATTTATGTGCCATGCTTTCCGAATGCAACTTGGTGGGCAATCCTAAAGAGTGGTGGATTGATTCTGGAGCCACTCGCCATGTTTGTGCTGTTAGAGAAGCTTTTGCTTCTTATGCTCCCGTTGGACCCGATGAGACGATTTCTATG